GTGTATAAGTACGAAGGTTCAAACTACACATAGATTTGTAAATACGAAGGTTAAAACTACACATAGATATGTAAGTACGAAGGTTAAAACTACACATAGATTTGTAAGTACGAAGGTTAAAACTACACACAAATCTGTAAGTACGAAGGTTAAAACTACACACAAATCTGTAAGTACGAAGGTTAAAACTACACACAAATCTGTAAGTACGAAGGTTAAAACTACACACAAATCTGTAAGTACGAAGGTTAAAACTACACACAAATCTGTAAGTACGAAGGTTAAAACTACACACAAATCTGTAAGTACGAAGGTTAAAACTACACACAAATCTGTAAGTACGAAGGTTAAAACTACACACAAATCTGTAAGTACGAAGGTTAAAACTACACACAAATCTGTAAGTACGAAGGTTAAAACTACACACAAATCTGTAAGTACGAAGGTTAAAACTACACACAAATGTGTGTAAGTACGAAGGTTAAAACTACACACAAATCTGTAAGTACGAAGGTTAAAACTACACACAAATCTGTAAGTACGAAGGTTAAAACTACACACAAATCTGTAAGTACGAAGGTTAAAACTACACACAAATCTGTAAGTACGAAGGTTAAAACTACACACAAATCTGTAAGTACGAAGGTTAAAACTACACACAAATCTGTAAGTACGAAGGTTAAAACTACACACAAATCTGTAAGTACGAAGGTTAAAACTACACACAAATCTGTAAGTACGAAGGTTAAAACTACACACAAATCTGTAAGTACGAAGGTTAAAACTACACACAAATCTGTAAGTACGAAGGTTAAAACTACACACAAATCTGTAAGTACGAAGGTTAAAACTACACACAAATCTGTAAGTACGAAGGTTAAAACTACACACAAAGTGTAAGTACGAAGGTTAAAACTACACACAAATCTGTAAGTACGAAGGTTAAAACTACACACATATCTGTAAGTACGAAGGTTAAAACTACACACAAATCTGTAAGTACGAAGGTTAAAACTACACACAAATCTGTAAGTACGAAGGTTAAAACTACACACAAATCTGTAAGTACGAAGGTTAAAACTACACACAAATCTGTAAGTACGAAGGTTAAAACTACACACAAATCTGTAAGTACGAAGGTTAAAACTACACACAAATCTGTAAGTACGAAGGTTAAAACTACACACAAATGTGTGTAAGTACGAAGGTTAAAACTACACACAAATCTGTAAGTACGAAGGTTAAAACTACACACAAATCTGTAAGTACGAAGGTTAAAACTACACATAGATATGTAAGTACGAAGGTTAAAACTACACACAAATCTGTAAGTACGAAGGTTAAAACTACACATAGATATGTAAGTACGAAGGTTAAAACTACACACAAATCTGTAAGTACGAAGGTTAAAACTACACACAAAATCTGTAAGTACGAAGGTTAAAACTACACAAAAATCTGTAAGTACGAAGGTTAAAACTACACACAAATCTGTAAGTACGAAGGTTAAAACTACACACAAATCTGTAAGTACGAAGGTTAAAACTACACACAAATCTGTAAGTACGAAGGTTAAAACTACACACAAATCTGTAAGTACGAAGGTTAAAACTACACACAAATCTGTAAGTACGAAGGTTAAAACTACACATAAATCTGTAAGTACGAAGGTTAAAACTACACACAAATCTGTACACACAAATGTTTGTAAGTACGAAGGTTAAAACTACACATAGATTTGTAAGTACGAAGGTTAAAACTACACACAAATCTGTAAGTACGAAGGTTAAAACTACACACAAATCTGTAAGTACGAAGGTTAAAACTACACACAAATGTGTGTAAGTACGAAGGTTTAAACTACACACAAATCTGTAAGTACGAAGGTTAAAACTACACACAAATGTGTGCAAGTACGAAGGTTAAAACTACACACAAAGTGTAAGTACGAAGGTTAAAACTACACACAAATCTGTAAGTACGAAGGTTAAAACTACACACAAAGTGTAAGTACGAAGGTTAAAACTACACACAAAGTGTAAGTACGAAGGTTAAAACTACACACAAATCTGTAAGTACGAAGGTTAAAACTACACACAAATGTGTGCAAGTACGAAGGTTAAAACTACACACAAATCTGTAAGTACGAAGGTTAAAACTACACACAAATCTGTAAGTACGAAGGTTAAAACTACACACAAATCTGTAAGTACGAAGGTTAAAACTACACACAAATCTGTAAGTACGAAGGTTAAAACTACACACAAAGTGTAAGTACGAAGGTTAAAACTACACACAAATGTGTGTAAGTACGAAGGTTAAAACTACACACAAATGTGTGTAAGTACGAAGGTTAAAACTACACACAAATCTGTAAGTACGAAGGTTAAAACTACACATAGATTTGTAAGTACGAAGGTTAAAACTACACACAAATCTGTAAGTACGAAGGTTAAAACTACACACAAATCTGTAAGTACGAAGGTTAAAACTACACACAAATCTGTAAGTACGAAGGTTAAAACTACACATAGATTTGTAAGTACGAAGGTTAAAACTACACACAAAGTGTAAGTACGAAGGTTAAAACTACACACAAATCTGTAAGTACGAAGGTTAAAACTACACACAAATCTGTAAGTACGAAGGTTAAAACTACACACAAATCTGTAAGTACGAAGGTTAAAACTACACACAAATCTGTAAGTACGAAGGTTAAAACTACACACAAATCTGTAAGTACGAAGGTTAAAACTACACATAGATTTGTAAGTACGAAGGTTTAAACTACACACAAATCTGTAAGTACGAAGGTTTAAACTACACACAAATCTGTAAGTACGAAGGTTTAAACTACACACAAATCTGTAAGTACGAAGGTTTAAACTACACACAAATCTGTAAGTACGAAGGTTAAAACTACACACAAATCTGTAAGTACGAAGGTTAAAACTACACGTAGATATGTAAGTACGAAGGTTTAAACTACACATAGATATGTAAGTACGAAGGTTTAAACTACACATAGATATGTAAGTACGAAGGTTTAAACTACACACAGATTTGTAAGTACGAAGGTTAAAACTACACACAAATCTGTAAGTACGAAGGTTAAAACTACACACAAATCTGTAAGTACGAAGGTTAAAACTACACATAGATTTGTAAGTACGAAGGTTAAAACTACACATAGATATGTAAGTACGAAGGTTTAAACTACACATAGATATGTAAGTACGAAGGTTTAAACTACACATAGATATGTAAGTACGAAGGTTAAAACTACACACAAATCTGTAAGTACGAAGGTTAAAACTACACACAAATCTGTAAGTACGAAGGTTAAAACTACACATAGATTTGTAAGTACGAAGGTTAAAACTACACACAAATCTGTAAGTACGAAGGTTAAAACTACACATAGATATGTAAGTACGAAGGTTAAAACTACACACAAATCTGTAAGTACGAAGGTTAAAACTACACACAAATCTGTAAGTACGAAGGTTAAAACTACACACAAATCTGTAAGTACGAAGGTTAAAACTACACACAAATCTGTAAGTACGAAGGTTAAAACTACACACAAATCTGTAAGTACGAAGGTTAAAACTACACACAAATCTGTAAGTACGAAGGTTAAAACTACACACAAATCTGTAAGTACGAAGGTTTAAACTACACATAAATGTGGTGTCAGATAGGTTACACCTATATACCCACTTTTAATATTTTGTAGGTTTAAACTAATCTCGCATGCATACTTATTTATGGAAAAATATACACACAACGTGATCATGTAAGTTACAACTGCATTCACAGGGGTAATTATGTAGATACAAACAACAAGCTTGTGTAATTTGGTAAGTTTTAGCTTACACACATATATAAGTGACTACTTAGGTTAAAACACAACTGTGTGTTGTTATGTAGGTAAAGATACACACACGTTACTGTAATTAATTAGGTTAAAAGTACACTCATGTGTAATTATATAGGTAAGATACACACACATATGTAATTAGGTATGTAAACTACACACACATAGGTAATAAAAATTCGCACACATATATTTAGTTATACATGTTATAACTACAAGCAATATGTAAGTGTATGATTCAAAACTACACACACGCACACGTGTAAATATGTATGTAATACTGCGCACACGTGTAATCATTTCGGTAAATTCTACACACATACATATCTATAATGAAGTATAAACTGTACACCCATATAGATAATCATGTAGGTTAAAAGTACAAACACATATCTAATGATGTAGATATAAGCTACACACTATTCGTGTAATTCTGTTATTTATTTGATAACAATAGTAGGTTAGGTGATTTTTTTTTTCTCGAACATACAAATGTATTAATCTTTCGGACAATATCAACTTAAACTGCAAAATGATCTTATCCTATGACCTTGACATGAGGCCATTAGTTACTCTGTGTTAATTTAAAGTGTGTCAAACACCGCTGCCATTGTCTTAAAGTTATATACCCAGAACAGGTTGTCAAGCGCCTTTTCGACGCAACAAACGAAGATTTTATTACTCGGTTTAAAGGTCACTGTGATATCACGTGACAACTAATCAACCCGGTGTCGGAACATTTAACGTTACATAGTGTAGATATTCCCTATGCTTACAGGTAGCTAGATCTAATGTGATTTAGAGTGCATGTTTGCATCCGGAGGTCTTTACGTATCTTACAACAAAACATTCATAAACAAGCATGTGACAAGATATGATCCTGTCGGACTTCGGATAAATCATGCCAAAGTGATTATTTGGAAAAAAAACACCTACAAATGAATTGTCTTGAAGGATTATTTTGTGAATAAACTTTAAAAAAAATTGAAAGTAAGGACATTTTGTGGAACGAAACTTAATGCATCTGAATGTTCGTTACACCATTGCTGAAAGGCGTACACAATACTCCTCACGAGAATAATTTTTCTTTGGATTCTTTACCTCCTTTTTAAAGTCATCCATGAAGATTGTTACAGTAAAAGAGAGCATGCAGCGACCTCCATCAGACACAAACTTTGATATGTTCACGACCAGCAGTGAACCCGAGCTTCAGCTAGAGGTAAGGTCATGTAGAAAAGTCTATTGTTTTTAAACTGTCTCATCACTTTTCAGTCATTGATATTGAAGAGTGAATAGTCAGTAACATGGTCATTTCGTCTGTTTTCTTTATTATGGAATTGGCTATTTGATCACAAACAGTTTACTTTATAATGCAAGAATGAGGTTTCTAATATCAAGACAAGCATGCTGATATGGATAGATACTGTGGAAAGTTCTGTAACATCGATAGTAGGCCACAGCTTTGAAGATGACCGTTACCATATAGACATAGCGATGGTGTATATCGAAGCATTATCAGTGTGATGCCAGACTTCAATAACTGTTTAGAAATAACACGACGGAACAATAAGAAAAATAGACGAAACATGATAATATTTTATAAGGTCAGAAACGGAGCTTCTCATAATACTGATGCATTGATCACCTCTTAATACATGTTTTGGTTCACTAAGGATGTATATTTTTGGAATGAATGTTTGAAATCGAGCATCAGTGTAAATAAACATGGGTTGACTATTATATATTTCTGCTGACTATTATAGAAAATAGGAAGAGGGACTTTTAAATACGCAATTTAAAAATGTATCATTACAATTAGGCTCATCTAGAGCTGAAGTTGTTGTCTTAGAATTTGTGAAACTACTACTAACTGGTACAATACATCAACATAATGTGTGTTTACAGATAATATAAGAGTATGTGTACTTGGTGGTACTGTCAAAGATATCGGTGAAAGTTATATCTCAAGGGATCGTAGTCTTACGTTAAACAAGGCACAACTACGACAACGACAACGGTATAGTTAGAAACAGTGTAATCAGTTTCGATATATTTAAGAAATATACAGAATAAACCTGGGAAATTTAAAGTATACTTGGAAACTCAGTGAAATTGGAGACAAAAGATAATCCTTTTAAATCTACTTGAAACCCATACTTGAAGCCGACAGGTTATGAAAATGTTATTCGGAATAATGACTTTGTCCGACGACCTAGACGATTTGAGTTCAATTCCTGATCAGAGAGAAAAATGTATGGATCGACTTCTCAACCGACATGACATTTTAATAAAGGTTAGCATACCGAGTTTCAGAATTGTTGCAAATTTATTAGAATTTATAACTATGATGTACTTAATAGCCAGATATTTATGGGAATCTTGACCGACGTTGGAGGAATCGATAATCTACCGAGAATCGGGCCGTGCTGTCGTTACCAAGTAAAAAAAATGCAAACGTTATAAGATATAAAGCGTTTTAATTGAATTATTACAGGAAAAATTTGATTCGTTTTAAATGGGTTTTTTCATTGTGAGACCTGTTTATATCTTACATATACGTATACATATATATCGGACAATAAGATATTGAACATAAAGACATCATAAAAATATTAATAAGCAAATTATGCTGTTTATGAAAACAGATGTCATAGAGTAAGGGCATGCCTTTAGAATCATTATTGTATAAAAAAGGGAAAACTCTGCGGGAGATGGCAGTATTTATGTTACATGACGCACATTCAAATGTAAATTTGATCCTCAACAAAAGGAGAGATGAGCGTTGTACCCTCGAAGACATTTAAATTGATCTCAATCAATCTTCTATTGAATGTTTGTCAATACACATGACTGTGCCTTTTCCAATGCAGCATAACATAAGGAATCAAATGAAAGAGACATATATATATGTAACAACATTCGCCTGAATATGGCCACTAGGCTTGAAAAAGACAGTGAGCTACCATGTTGATATTATCTATTTGATTATATACTGTTATAAATAATTATAGGTTTTGTTTACTCTAACATTTTTATTTCTACGACATCAATTTTTCGGGATTCATTCCATTCTCGAAAATATAGAGAAATTCTTACGGTACTGCCTGTATTTAAACCTTGTATTTTTACCTTAAAAATTATGAATCATAAATATGTTACTATTCTACATTTTATTATTTGTCAGTTGTACAAATAAAATAGATATACCGCATTTTGTATTCCTTTACAATGCTATTAACACCATGACCCTTTGTATATACATATATACCATTGTGTCTTGATTACAGTGAATATTCATTGTTTTGTGATAGGTAATTTGATACTTTGATTATGAAGAGTGGAAAGTGATCCAAGTAAAGGCAATTTACAGTAACCTAATTGTTAGTAGTTATGTGACTGTTGTTTGTTGAATGGAAAGTATTCAAAGATTGGCAAAATCAGTTAAAAGTCAATTTTTGCACAAATATTTTAAGTCACTGTGTGACTGTGTGAACACTTCAAGTTATCCGAGCGAATCATTTCAGTAAGTTCGAATTGCAAGAGTGAAGTTTGGAAGGGACCGAAAAAATATTCCGAAGTAAACGGGGTCTTCGATTTATAAGGGTTCGAGATAATGAAGTTCGACTGTAGTATGTAAGATTGAACATTATGAATTATCTAAAAATCTATCTAACATTTGACAGATTTTTTACTTCCAAATGTCAAACACAACCAAAAGACGACTTAGTGGATCGCATTGTAATGAGAAGCCATTGTCCTAATTAATTCAAACGTTAAATTCCACTATGACTTCGTAAATTCAATATAATTATGTTTTGTCACACGATCTCACCTACTGAGCTATGTGAATTGTGCCGACAGATCAGTAGATTGGCAGGGCTTTCAGGAAGCTTTTTGAAACAATACATGTAGTACACCTGAACCAAGAAACTCCTGTATATCGCGCCCACTCCAAATTAATACAGACAGGTGCTTTGTGATATATGTACATCAAATATTACTACAACACGTTCGAGTTTGTTTAGCTTCCACTCATCAATATAATTAATTTTAAATATCTCTAAAGATTTTACCAGTACCTGGCTAACTTTTGTGGCAATTTCAACAGTTTACTGAACACATCAGTTAGCCTGTGAAATTTATGTAACACAAACTACGAATTACTTAAACCAGGTACTGCTTAAACTATTTTAAGAAACGCAAATAGGAGATTTGTAACAATCCAATGGCTAAGTGTAATTACTGATATCATCATAACGGTGATCGCAGCGTCACGGGCACTACCCGGTAAATAACCAAAGACAATTTGATAATTTCCTTTGAGAAACGACAGCAAAATTCAAGTCTTTGTACCTAACAAAGCTCCTTAAAAAGACAAACAATCAACAGATTATAAATATGCGTTCATATTTTAACACTTTACATAATATCCTACTCCCAAATATACCGAATAGTTTGTAAATAGTGATATGAAATAAGCCTTTATGTGTACACCTACTTAACGGACGCAGAAGTACATGGCTAGAATATAAAGCCTGTGGTAGCCTGCTGATTTAGCAGTCTGTTACTCCATTACTCGAATGGCGTGAATTAATTGCAGTTGTTTGAGATATTGGCATTAACCCAACGGAATCATTGACGGCCTTAAAAGACCATCTGACCCCTGACCATTTTATCTATACAGTTATCTCCCCTATGGACTCCCGGTGGGGTTCTCAAAGAAGTCTAATACTATACTACATTCAATTTGATAAATTCAATGGAGGTAGGAAGCCTATTGCAAGTCCATAATGAACATTGTACAAAGGTACAATGACATATATATTGAAGAGGTTTTCTAAAGCTAGTATGTGTAATTAAATAACTCCAAAAGACTTCATTCAGTCAAATATATGACTTCATTATCCATGGAAAAACAAATGGTGACTAATAAAATAAAACAAAACATGTACATTCAATAGGGACCGCTCGGTAATCAATCATCTTAAGTCGACAGAAAGACTCAAGTTTATAACTACTGGCGCGCCTTGCTATACTTAAGTCATTTGACTTTTTTGTAGTGAAGGAAATTTAACGGGATACAGAAACCGAAAAGAGATACTGGATACATTCTGAGAAGTAGATACGGAACCAGGAAACGTTTTAAGACAACTATCTAAATATTTGTATAGTTATCAAGCTAGTACTGTGGTAGTGCCTATTGCTACTCATTTAAATACTTTTTTGTTACCTTGGAAACTAATCTCAAGAATATTACTTGAAACTTTGAAAAAGCAGTCAAGCTAGCATATTTGTTATTGAAAAACTTTGAATTTTAACGTCTTTTTTATTCATGGAAACAGAAAAACCTAGAAAATTTGCCGTTTCCAGAGTAAAAGGTCAACACCGTTCAAGGTCTCTACCTGAAACCTGAAGCTTTGGAGAAGTCCCATGAAAACAAGGATAAAATTACAAAATTCGTGAATTTCGTTTTCTGTTGCCTATCAAAAATAGCTGTAATCGCTGGCAAAGTTTCCAAATATATAGGTAATGATTATATTTATCCCATAGACAAATTCTATATGTTTTTATTATGTAATCAGTGAAGTTACTAATGATTCCAAACCATAATCAAAAACATCAACAGTAAAATGATCCATATCAATATACTACTGTGGTGGAATGGAGCTAGGACCTCGTATTGTAGTATATTGTAATTATACAAATAATTGTGTTTTTCTATGTTACAGCGGGGCAAGGAGATATTGTCATCTTGTTCATATCTAATTTTAGAATGGAAATTTTAATTTTTTTAATATTCATTTGGATGAATAACGGTTTATATGGTTCACATAAACATTCCTAAACGTAAATTATTCTGAATGAATTCAGATATTTAATATTTATGAACACGTTGTGAAAGTCGACCTGCAATAAATGTTATTGGAGATGCCGGTCCCTTTGTGCATAACCTTACTAATAAGTACAGTGCAAGTTAATCAAAACATCTCATTTCTAACATCATAGAGTTCCCTAATCAGTTTATGTGTGTATAGGCTTGTGCTGCTAAAAGCACAAAGCGAAGGCAACAGTTCGGTAAAACATTGTAGTCACTTCTGTAATATGTAAAACCAAACTCATCAATAACCGGAGTCCTTATTACGGAGATATTTTGGTTAAAATGAAAATGTATTTGGTTGTGGAAAATTGTACTAATTAGGTACAGGAGGCAAACATGGG